GTTACTTTAGCCTCCGAAAAGGATAAGGATAGGTTATTGGATAATACTTTGTTAGAAGATGAAGGTTTAAGGTTGTCAGTTCCCACACGACGTATACCTAGGATGTTATTGTCAAATGTTCCACGTGAGTTACAAGGTGATGATCTTCTGCAATTAATATTAGTATTGAATAGGGATTTGATATTTAGTGAAAGTGAAATGGAATTAGATGAGTTTAAAGAACATTTTAAACTATTGTATAGGACTGGGCGGAAACGCGAATTATTAGTAAATTGGGTAATAGAGGTTTCACCGGAATTAAGAAAGAAATTATTACATCATGGCAGATTATATATAGAATATAGATCTTGTCAGGTTAAAGACTATTATGAGATATCAAAATGCTATCGATGTCAATTATTTGGGCACATAGCTAAATTTTGCAAACAAGATAAGGAAATTTGTTATAAATGTGGTGATTATGGACACCAGTCACGGGATTGTGAGGTTGAGCGACCTTTACGTATATGTATTCCATGTAGGCAGGGTAAGAAAAAATTTGATCATTACTCACGGGATAAGGTATGTAGCTCTTATCAATTTGCTCTGGCAAGATACAAACAGAATATAGATTATGGTTAGGGGATTTAATCAATTAAAGCTTAAAATAGGACAAATTAACATGCAACGTAATAAAAGTGTTCCCGTGGAATTAGGTTTATGTTTAAATGATTTTGAATTTGATGTTTTAATTGTGCAAGAACCATATACATTTAGACAGGGGGTTAAAAGGTTTGGTTTCAAAACAAGAGTGGTTCAGTGTTTTGATAAAACGCCTTGGGCCGCTTTAATTGTATGTCGAGATTATTGGTCTGTAATGGAATTAAGTCAATTTACCTCTAGCACTTGTGCTGTGGCACAATTTCCTTATGAGGGTTTTAATATTTATATAGCTAGTTTGTATTTTCCCCCTAGTAAGGACATTCGTGTATCTGTGTCAGAGTTGGAAAGGGTATTGCATGCTTTACATGGTAAATTAGTTATTTTAGGGATTGATACTAATTCTAAGCACCCGATGTGGGGAAGCGATAAAATTGATGATAGGGGTGAATTATTTATGGGCTTACTTAGTCAATGGAATTATAATATTTTAAACCAACAATCTGAGATTCCGACTTATCAATCTTCAAGAGGGTCTTCTTTTGTTGATGTTGTGGCCTATTCAGTGGGTCTTAAAAAATATGTAGGTAATTGTTGTGTGTCTCATCAGTACACGTCCTCCGATCATGCGCTGATTAGCTTTGAGGTTTCATTGGGAGGGGTCTCATTGACCACATCAGAGATGATTTATTGCAATTCTGATATTAATTGGGCTCGGTTTAGTGGGATTTTAAAATCTCAGTTACAGGTACGGGATTTACCAATTATAGATTCTAGGATTGATGTAATTCGATATTGTCAGGTATTGCATTCGGCTTTTTATAAGGCGTGTTATAGTTTTAAAGGTAATAGGTGTAATAGGAATTTTCGTAAGAGATGGTGGACACAGGAATTAGATATAATTCGGAAAAAGGTTTTTAGGTTACGTCGACTTTATCAGAGAGAAAGAGATTTAGTGTTGCGTCAGGTTAAATTGGAGGAATATCGTTTAGAATATTGTTTATACAAGAAAAAAATTAGGGAAGTTAAACGACGTAGTTGGCGTAATTTTGTAGAATCTACTGGTAATCGAGACCTATGGGGTATTCCCTATAAAATTATTCGAGAAAAGGTTACGATGGGTACTATATTGTCTTCTATTTGTGGGACTTTAGATTGTGCTTTGGATTGGCGAATTAGTATACAGAATCTTTTTATGGTTTTATTTCCTGAGGATGATATTAGTAGTGATACTGTAGAACAAAGTAATTGTAGGAGAGATAATTTGAGGTATAGCTCAAATAGCCTTTCGGAACCGTTTTCAATGGATGAATTGCGTAATGTTGTATTTAAACTTAAGGGTAGGAAGGCTCCTGGAATAGACGGGATCACGTATACAATGGTTCGTAGGGTTTTTCCTATTATAGGTACTTATTTATTAAAATTATATAATTATTGTTTATTTTTTGGAGTCTTTCCAAATCAATGGAAGATAGCAAAAGTTATTGTTTTATTGAAAGGCAAAGATAGGGCTCGTGATCATCCGAAATCATATCGTCCTATATGTTTGTTATCTGTTTTAGGGAAAATTTTTGAGAAATTAATAAAGATTAGGCTACATTTACTATTTGATGGTTATATTGATGAAGATCAGTATGGGTTCCGGGAGAATCATTGTACTGAGGATGCAATTCGTCGACTTAGGATGCGGGTAGAGGAATCTAGTAACAAATATGTTTTAGGCTTATTTATGGATATCTCCGGGGCCTTTGATAATATTTGGTGGCCTGCCGTGTTGCGGGTCTTGCGAGTCAGAGGTTGTCCTCAGGATTTATATAGAGTTGTAGAAGACTATTTTCGGTGTAGGGTTGTTAGGTTTTATCATGGGAGGGAGTATGAAGAAAAGGTAGTTACTAAAGGGTGCCCTCAGGGCTCCGTTTTGGGTCCGGAGATGTGGCTTGTTGTTTTTAATGATGTTTTGCGTGATTTACGTGTCAGGGGCTATGATTTCATAGCTTATGCTGATGACATTGTAGTTCTTGTGGGAGGGAATAGTAGGGCCAAGTTAGAGGTTCAGAGTAATGAGGTGTTTCAGGTAATGATGGATCAATTGGCTAAGTTAAGGTTACAGTTAGCTCCTTCAAAATCGAAGATTTTGTTGCTCCGGGGTCACCTTAGTCCGGATCGCCCCCCCAGCGTGCATGCAGGTACTGCAGTTATACATGTGGTGAGGAATGTGTGTTACCTCGGTTTGAACCTTGGTGCGAATATGTCCTTTTCTAATCACATTAAGGATATAACTACAAAAGCGGTAACTCAGTTTGGGAAATTACAAAGTTTGTTGGGTTCGGGGTGGGGACTGCGGCTTCCTGCCCTGAAGGTTCTATATAGGCATTTGTTTATTTCTATTGTTGTATACGCAGCTGGTGTGTGGGGCGACGTACTGGGTGCCCTGGATAAAAGGAGGCTTTGTCAAGCCCAGAGGATGGCTCTATTGTTAATAACCCGTTCTTACCGAACAACATCTACTGATGCTCTGCAACTTATAGCTGGGGAAATGCCTCTAGATTTAGAGGTTAAGGTCTATTATTATAGATCGTTAGTTCGGCTAAATATTCCTTTTGTTTTGGGTACATTTTCTTTCCCACAAGACTGCTTTGGGGAATCTATAAGTTCAGTTAGGAAATTGATTAGGAATAGGATATGTTTGGAATGGAATGAACGATGGCAAAGGTCAGAAAAGGGTCGACAAACAGCTCTGTATTTTCCAACTGTGATGAGTAGGACCCGGGCATGGTGGGTTGAACCTGATTATTTTGTGAGTCAGGTACTCACAGGCCACGGAGATTT